GCAAGCTTGTCTCGCCGAAAACCTGGTTCGACTCCAGACAATGAGTTGGCAGTGAGAATCAATGTTTGATTACTGTTAACACTATCAGTAGTCACTGAAGTGGTGCAGCTTAATCACTTACGTTAAAGTGAGTGAGTGAGTTCAGTTATACGCCGCACTCAGCCATATTCCAGCTATATGGCGGCGGTCTTTAAATAATCGAGTCTGGACCAGACAATCCAGTGATCAGCAGCATGAGCATCGATCTACTCAACTGGGATACGATGACATGTGTCAACCAAGTCAGCGAGCCTGACCACCCGATCCCGTTAGTAGCCTTTAACGACAAGCATGGGTTACTGAAGATCAATTCTAACCCGGATCTTCACGGGTAGACAAGCATGGGTTAGTGAAGATCAATTCTAACCCGGATCTTCACGGGTATTTACATTATAAGGTAACACTCAATACATAAACTCTTATACCGGACATGTTTCTTATACCGGACATGTTTCATCTCTCCACCCTTCTGCTTTGACTGCTTTGAGATCGTGCAGCTGAAGCCTGCTGCAAACTTTACAGGAATTATAAAACCATCGCAGCTGCTATTATCCTATGTTTCTAGGTTATTATTTCCACTTAAATATTATTTCTAAGCTGATATATTTTAACCTAAAACGTCAAAATGATCATCCAGTGTGAAATCATTTGTGCTATGCTTATGAAAGGATGTTAATCACAGTGCGTAATAACTGTAAAGAGGAGGTTCATTAGATTGTAACTTGTTACTGGAAATTCGTACAGCGCTCAGGTGGTAATCTTTTAATTGAATGCATGTCCCTCATTATCGTCTCCGTGGATGGTGAGGGGCATAATAGGTTCCCCGGTATCACAAGCTTCTGTACTGAGTGATATAGATCGGGTGGATATCGGCTCTCAAAGAGGGAGATCTTTGCTCTGACTATCAGTTAGTCGTTTGACTATCCAAGAATCTCAGCATTTACTGTCCGTTGTGATGTCGTGAAGGTTGCTCACAGCGACGAAAACCATTACTTACCATCGTATGCACATTGTAACCATGCAAGACTGTATCTGTGTCAAATTCTGTTTTCAACATCACATGATAGAAGGGGTACCGCCGCCACAACTCACTCACTCATTCACTTACGTCTGTATCCAGCTGATTAAGGACATCTCGGCTGTATTATTTGGAATGAACATGACATCTTTGCACGTCCAGAGTTGCTTTGGAGTGAGTGAGTGAGTTGGGTTACAGAAGAAGAGACAACCGCTAATAAATTCCATGATTTAACATTGAATGGAGCATGGAGTGTTACGGAACACCTAATGGTAAATAGCGAGGAATTACTTCCCTTCCTCGTGTCAGGATCTGCTGCTGGTGGGCTGGATTGACCCCGATAATAATTATATATATCTCACTTGGCACCATATCAGTGAGACCGCCTCCATAATGTAGTGGTTAGAGCGTCCGCCCGGAGAGCGGAAGGTCGAAGGTTCGATCCCCGACCGCGTCATACCAAAAGACGTTAAAATATGGTACTTGTTGGTCCCTGCCTGGCGCTCGGCATTATTATTGGGTAGTAAAATGACTGGTCGGCTCGGAGTCAGTATAATGTGTCTGAGTGGGGTATTCATGCTTCACTGCGGCATGGTATCTCAGTGGGCTAGCACTATAAAACCAGCTTAAGTCTGGGCTAATACAAGCAGCCGCACATACACATACACACGCATGCACGTCATCATATGAGCGAAATATTCTCAAGCACGACGTTAAACCCAATTTCACCTCACCATATCAGTGTAATTCATCGACGCCGTCAACGCGTTATTAGAGTTTCTCTTGATATCACAGAACTACTTCCCCAAATGACGTTTTATCCACTCATTAATCCATTCACCCACTCCCTGCCTGTGCAGAATTCAGGATTTTTAAATACTGTAGTTTTGCCTGTAAATTATAACCCTGCGAAAATGAGCCTCCTTAAAACTTCAAATAACTTTATACTCAAATTTGTCCTTGTGATGAATTGAACTTAAGACGCCTCAAATTTAAGATATTCACGCTGTGATAGTCAAAGGGAGATAACTCTTTTCATCCGCCACCTTGAATCATATGAACTCCTCCAGCATGCTAAGCCAGAATCTGAGCATAGATTCTGAAACAAAACTAAACATTTTGAAAGACTTCAGCGGCGTACTCTGCACCATAATTTACGAGGAATCCATTTATTAATTCAAAAGGGTATAGCGTCCAGGATAGCAAATGGGTACATATCAGTCTAGAAAACACATTCAGTTGACATGTTTTGAGTTCGCAATTTGTAAAACAAACCGATTCGCCTCCTGATCTGTGATCTGTGATCTCCATATTATGAGTATAGGATGGTCTTTTGTGAAGGAACTTGGTTAGTCATTTCACTTTGAAAGTTGAAACGACCGTGACCATGTGTAATACAAAACCAAAAGAAGCGGCATATAAAATACGTCCGCCTTTTCTTGTCCTGTCGAACCTCGGATTACTCGAAGTATTTACGTAGGTCCATTCAAATTCGACACAGCGATCTGTGACTATATAGTCTGTATCAAACTGCGGGTGATAGTAACCCACGACATGAAGCATGACATGGTTGGTTTAAGCGTTGAAAGGTATACCTGGTGAATTTGTCTTAGGACACATAGGTGGCACACAGGTCGCACGGTTCTCTATACCTCGGCAATTCACTGCGCAGAGTTAGGTCCCTTGGTCACGCCCAAAACCAATGATTGTGTGTTCCCGGGTCGCACCGATTATATTTCCAAAATCTCTATGGAATCAAAATAAACACGTTTCTTTTAATTAACAACTGTATTATGAAATAACTAGGTTTACCCATGTATGGAGCAAAGTAAATATGATGGCAGTACTCAATAGAGTGGCAGTTCAATTACAATGGCTGTATTAAACAAAATATCAGAGGTTATAGAAACAGTAACAGTCGGTATCACCTTTAATAATTGGATTAGGCTCAATATCCAGGGGTAAATATCTTCAGTCGACCAGTCGTCTTTAACTTAGTATCAGATTAGAGCCACATGCTCTAATTCACTTAAATATTCTTAACAACTTTCCAGAATGGGGTAGCCTTGCGGTTGAAGCATTCGCTCATCACGCCAAAGACTCGGGTTCTATCTCCCCACATCGGTACAATGCGTGAAGCCCATTTCTGGTGTCCCCCGCCATGGTATTGCAGGAATATTGCTAAAAGCTGCATAAAACTACAAACACTCACTCAATTCAGATTCTTGAATATTCCGGCATTAACAGTACATCGAAATTGTCACCTAACACAATGACTTCACTGCCATTGGTTAAGTGCCCTCTCTCACTAAAAACAGGCTTTGATGACTGGTATACAAAAGCTCCTCATTATTTAAACAACAAAAAGGTTGTCTTGGCATACACAAAAAACATGAGGGGAAGACAAATACATTCTTATACTTAGAAATTAAAGCTATATCTGCGTGTAGGCTTCGACGAAAATCCAGAAGTGTCATAAGAACCAATTGGAGAAGAAGTACACCTTTTGAGAACAAACTGAGTTAAAACGAGAACAAGGAGGGGATGAGCAAATTCCGGTCTGCAAACCCTAAACACCTTGTGTTTGCGAACAATTATCAACCAAAGAAAAAGGCTGGAGTAACTGACACATACCGCTTAAAAAGGATCTAACAAAATCTTACTTTCTCAAACGTATACCGCATATTAAATACATTTTCTTTCTCGCTAGAAAAACCAACAAAAGGAGAACATATCCCTTTTAATAACAGACCTAAAAGCTTCAGGAACAAATTCGGAAGCCTAAGAAACCGAAAATCAGTAATGAGGCAGAGTTACTTCCCGTGCTTTACCTCTGAATACACTGTGCCAAATATAGTTTTGGCCATCTTGAACTCTCAGCGTCCTTTTGAACGAAATACGAAAACCTTCCACACTTTCTGTTCAGGGAAGGGCGCAATAAGTGTGATCTGGTTGATTGGCATTTTAGGTGATGAATAATAAGAATAGTATGATACTTTATGGATAAAAGATATTAAAATAAAGAAGTCGTTATCAATAAGGTATCCTGCTTTCTTTCCTTATTGGAATAAGTGTGATATGTCAGAAAAGATGATAATTTGCATGATTCATTTTCTTTAGCTCCCTTACGAGCCCCACATGTCTGTTGGGTGTCCATTCATATATCCAAAAACTATTTCTGCTTGAAAATAACAAACAAAAACTGTTATGTTGTAAAATAACAATTTTATTACGAAATTAATAAAGAGTAAAGTAAAGTAATAAACAATAAACTTCAATAGTGCGGTGGCAGTGCAATACACACACACACACGCACACACACACACACACACACACACACACACACACACACACGGTGACTCATGATAAATGCTCATAAAACACCACTGGTCACATGTCAAGAACAGTGCTGTGTCTTTATAAATACTTTAGTGGCTAATTCACCACTCCATAAATATCATTCAAAGCATCCTGGCAGGGTCTAAGTCTTATACTTCCAAAACCCAGCTGCAAAGATTACCCAAAATCACCCTCATAAATTAATTAAGCTCTTTCCTTACACTGAGACATCTGTAATCAATACATATAACACAGGGTGGTTCTTCAACAACAGACCCAGATGCATTAGGGTTGAACACTTACACGTATTAACTCTATTCAGAAAGAAACTTGAAATAAGTACTCTTTCACAAGCTGGACTCTTAGTCCGGGCACTAAAGCAAATATATCATAATATATCAAATGGTGCATGTAAAGTTTATATTGCTAACTATGCTAATAGATAGGAATGAAGACTAAAACTATAATTTAGTTTTCAGTCCTCCTGGGGACATAGAGATTACGTCACTCAAATAACAGCATCTTTCCTTCTGGCTTCCTCTGGCTTTAGTATCAAGAGGTGATCTCAAGAAAGCGATGCCTGAGGCGTGATGCCTTTACGAAACGAGAAGAAAGAAGGTAGGCAGTTAACTCGTAACAAAGGGTATACAAGGATATGAAATCGTATCAATTCAAATTAAAGTGAACACAATGAAAATTAGAACACATCTTTGCAGATTGGCAACATTGTTAATGTCGTTGCATCATGGTAAGTGGTTGGTATTGTTGCGTTGTTCTCAGTGCTATTCCTTACGTACTTGCTCAATGTGAGCATTCAACTGCTTGTACCGTGACATGATCAGAAAAGCCAGATCAAGAATGTAGTATCATAAATGTAAGCACTTAATGTTATAGCACAAATAAATAGATAAATATAGCAATTTCAGCACTTACCAAGATCAATAAGTGAACAAAACAATACAGTTCGGAGATTATTGTGTGATGTATGATTTGTGGTAACATGATTTTTCAAACTGTGAATCTAGACTTGTCCAAGACTCGTGTGTTTACTTCAACTATTTGTTAGCTGAACACTTTTTTGTAGGCGGGCAAAAAGGTAGCCAACAGATGATGTAAGCTTAGACTTGTCTCCACAATCTATAGTTCTCCTCTCCTGAAAACAATAACTTACAGTCAACAATTAAATCACCAACGCTTATCAATTCAAGGATGTCCAACATTCTTGTTAAAGTCCTCACGAAGGTGAAAGATCACAGGGAGATTATCGGAAGGCTTTGTTACTGGGAAGTAGGAAATCTTAGGGGTTTTGTTCTTTAGATCCCATGAGCATGTCCTAATGAGTTCCACAATGAAGATTTTCAGAAACATCCTTGCAAACTTTTCTCCTGGACATGCACGACCACCTGCTCCAAAAGGAATGTAGTGGAATCGTTGGGCACTCACACGTGTCTTCTTCTTCATTTCATTCCAGCGTTCAGGTTTAAATTCTTCATTGTCTTCAAAGAGTTCAGTGGTTTGATGAGTGTCTCGGATGCTGTAGATGACTGACCAGCCCTCTGGAATCTGGTAGCCCTGTAGGTGGAGAAAAGGAGTGTATTAGTTGCAATGCCTCTGCAGCCAGCACGGAGAACTGTACAAAAACTATTGTCATTAAACTATTATATATGTTGTGCTATGTAGAGTTTGCATCCCTTAGGTTTGTAGGAGCTGACCACAGTTTGAATATAAGAGTTTACCAGAATAATCATTGTTGTTGATAAAACCATATCTCATGTGTGTTTCAAGAAAGTTGTAAGAGTTCGATGCATTCGTCATTTTTTTGTCATTTAGAAAGTGCTCAAATGTAACACATGTTATATTTAGGATTACAGTTTATCTTTAAAGAACATATATTAGTACTTTTTCTTTGGTTGAGTCCATCCGGAATTCGACCCACACCCTCAGAGTCAGGCACCGAATTGCCAGCCCACAAAGTCAGTCGCCTAACCCACACAACCACCGGGGCTTCCACAACATGAAAGTCTGACAACTGGTAGTCTAATAATGTCATTGTGTATTCATATTTGTAAGTTGTCATGTTTTGGGGGCTTGAAGTCATCATACTGGGGATATTTCGAGACTTCGATAAAATGATGGGGCCAAAATGCAGCCTATTTTTGATGGATGGGAGTCTACCTAATAAAAGTAATAGAATATGTACTTTTCTGAGAAAGAGTAATCCCAAATATAACATGCGATATAAATAATTCAGCGGTAAAGCATCTCGAGTAATTCAAGGCATTTTGTTTTTGCGCTGCAGAACAAAATGTTGGTACAAGAATATATTTCCAGCTTACGGGAATATTTAAGGGACAAGAGTTGGTGGCTGCGTGTTTGCTTTACCTCAATCTCCATTGTCTTCTTCACCCTCCTGAAGCCGCCACCAACAGGCGGATACACTCTGAGCACCTCCTTCACCACGTGATCAACGTAGGTCAGCTTCTTTAAATTGTCAAAAGTCAGCTCTTCTTCAGAACTTAATAGTCCATTCTCTTCCAGTTCTTCCTCGATTTGTTTTCGAACACCATCATCGTTACCTAAAGCCAGTAGTGTTGAAGTTGACGTGCTGGAACTAGTGTCGTTTCCTGCGAACCATAATTCCAAGACTGCATCTGCCATTTGGTCTGCGGTGAGTGCGGCAGCCGTTTCATCAAGATTCTTCAGTTCGTCAACGAGGGACCATTCTTGTGTTTCTCTGTTAAGTCTTTTCTTGATTTCATTTATGAGCTGTTCTCTTGCTTTCAGACCCTACATCAACAGAAACAGCTCATTTTCAACCTACTTGAAAACATGTAAAAATATGGAACCAGACTGAACTTCACCATAACATCCAAAGAGTGATACCTATCATTTGCCCTATCGCTCTCATCTCCTCAAACTTATTTGAAAGGTTAAACTTGCCTTGGCCAAAACGCGATCACTTAAAGGCTGCCGTGATAAACCTCGAATACAGCTGTCTGTGCCATGACATATAGCAGCATTAACATACTCACTCACATCATATGATCAAAGACCAGCAATTCAATTTGTTCTTGTTTGCAGCCCTGCAACTGTGTAGTATGGTAAAAAATCACATACCTTGGACAATCCTGACCCAGGTAGTTCCCATGGCAGTGAAAACAAGTTGCCAGTGAAAGTCTGGAAAGAGCTGATTATTGCCTCCAGGTTGTGATTGTCAACGTCAAATCCAATAAGGATGTTGGCAGCAAGAGACATCGACAAACGTTTGCAAACATCTGTCCCCAGTTGCTCTCCCTTATTGCACCAGTCCAAAATATGGTTTCTGACAAGTTGTTGAATTCTTGGGACATGTCCTTGTATAGCTGCAGGAGCTAAAGCCCGGAGGAGTAGCTTCTTCCTGATCTTGTGGCTGTCAGGACATGCGTTTAGTAGTCCACCGGGTCCCATTAGACGTTTGAGTGCTTTAGGCCAGTTGCTCTCAACAGTGATGTGCTCACCCATCAAAATATGGCGAACATTTTCAGCTCCGATGATTCTGATGGTAGGTTGTCCGAGAAGGTGAGTCTTGTATACATGGCCGTACTGTTGCCGCCGAGACAGGTAGTAGTCAGAGCCCTGAAGGGGAAAAAATAGTATTTTTAGTACAGTTGAACTTGATATCTGTTGAGGACGTCCTTATTAACAAAGGGACCTTGTTGAAGATAATTGGTAATCAAGATGATTTGACTTGAAATGGCAATGACGAGATAAAGGGGCTTCATTGGAACTGATTTGTTTACTCTTACGTGCAGATTCCCAACTTGAACATATAAGGTAACCAGAAATCAGTCTGCAAAAGAATTTGATATGACATCAAACGACAAAGAGGGGTGGTGGGGTAGCCTAGTGGTTAAAGCGTTGGCTCGTCACGCCGAAGACCAGGGTTCGAATCCCCACATGGGTACAATGTGTGAAGCCCATTTCTGGTGTCCCCCGCGGTGATGTTGCTGGAATATTGCTAAAAGCGGCGTAAAACCAAACTCAGTCAGTCAGTCAAGCGACAAAGAAATGAGATATAAGTAACAATTAACTACGTTTACAAATTGAGATAGATCACAACAAAGGGATTATAATGGCAGTGCACAATAGAGTGGCAGTGCAAAATCAAAGGCAGTACACACAAACAACGAGCATAGTAATAATGAAAGTGTTGATCATACTCACTGCATGTCTGTTCAGGCTTCCAAAATAGGCCTTGGGTGAGTATCTAAGGTGAAAAGGCATCTTTTTCTCCTTGTAACGCGTGATGTAATGTGAGAAGACGCAAAAGCACGCCCCTTATATAGTGTAACTGTTTTGGAACTTTCCATGATGTTCTGGGTTAGACCATACTTCAGTTTTGGTACCTTGTACTACCTTCTAGAACACTCAGTCTAAATATAGCACAAGTCTAAATATAACACAATATACCCCTACTGAATGTCAACAGAAACAATGTTATACACTCGAAACAGTGTTACACAATAAATAACACTGCCACGTAACGCTACACATTGAATAAACTACCTTACCAGCCACAAAAAGATCGTTTGAATCTAGAGTAAATCTGGAGAAATAATATATTAATACAAAGCATGACTTACTTTAGTTATTAAGGAGAGTGTCTCGCCCAACAATGGAAAGCCCATGGACCCTGGGGGGAGGGGCAGTTTGCTGCTGGGGTCCCCGGCATGTTCATAATACCGACGCCACAGCCAGGTTGTGACGATGATGGCGAGAAAGGATACGAACACGAATCGCGAAACGTCATCGAGGATACCGTCGTGGTGGTCTACGGAATGTACCTCGGCCTTTTGCTGCGGCTCACTGTAAATGGAAAGGTTCAGTTCTTTAACCACTGAGTAATTTACCTTCACTTGCTGGTAATCTATAGCCCATTTTTACACTGCATTGTCCAAAAATAGTTTTCTACTTTTAAAGATATGTACTAGCTAGTTTTACCTCATTTTGTGATAATCTCGTAATTTTACTGTCCTTCGTTGACAGGGTTATATATATTATGTGTATGTATTATGAATTTAGAACTAGTTTAGTCACGATTTGGCTGAAATATTGCCGATGTGACTTTAAATCTTAACTCACTCACTCTTTAACCACTGAATTGAAGTCATAGAGTGAAATGATTGTCAAAATAGAATACATTGTCTTGACTTTGACTTGCCTAAGTCTACGTTTATCCAAGCATTGCGTTCTGTCGAATCAAACGTCTATGTGCTTGCAACAGGGGCACCTCCTGATTGATTGGTAAACAAGAATGACATGACTGACTAATCAGACCCAGCATATTAATTCTATATGATAAGACAACAAACATACTTACCATGTGTTGGTGGCTTTCTGTTCTTCACCAATGAAATTCCAACTCTTCTCGGGAATCAGCAATTGGTTGAAAGCCGTCTCCTGCACAATGTAGTGCACCGATGCCATCTTGAAAGGAAGGTAGCATGTCAGTCACTAGCTGCAGACTTGGTATATATATCAGGTGGGAGCCAATGAAAGCCTGGATGACTAATACTAAGTTCGTAAAAACATAGGTTACAATAACAGAAGTTCACCTGTTTCTGTCCCTAATGTCAGCATTACATTGATACCATTCCTAGACCTATTTTCAGCATTTTTTTTTATAAAGGCAGGAATGTTATGGATGTAAATATCTTTATTGTAATGGACACGACGTTTTGAAGTAGGGGCGGTGGGGTAGCCTAGTGGTTAAAGCGTTGGCTCGTCACGCCGAAGACCCGGGTTCGAATCCCCACATGGGTATAATGTGTGAAGCCCATTTCTGGTGTTCCCCGCCGTGATGTTGCTGGAATATTGCTTAAAGCGGCGTAAAACCCAGTCAGTTTTGAAGTATATTCTTACTCTCGCAACAGGTGAATGTGATGAAGGAATAAGATTATACTTCGAAACGTCGTGTCCGTCATCAATAAAAATCTGTCCTTTGTGTGTATCACTTCTAAATGCCATTCAAAGACTCAACATTGTTTAATGCTGTACTTGCGATACATATAGTGACGACACTACTTGTGCCATACCCACATGAATATGTGTCAACATCTGAAAACTTAAACTAGCAAGAAATGTCTCACCGAGAGTACTCGCTGTGCTTATATTTCATCTCAGCGAGATCTACAAATCGCAATATTTAATGATAATTTTCTTAAACGTAGATTTCGTTAAGCGAAGTATTGATGTCATTCATCTCGGCCTGAACGCTGACGGTCCTTTACGTCATTAGTTTGCTGGTGTGTTCTGGCCAATCCGCTGATATCGATGGATGGCAACCAGTGTCTCTTGCAATAGCCGAATGGCAGAATCTGTGGCAGGATCGCCAGAAGCGTTCGAGGACATGTTTACTGTGACTGATTAGGTACCAGATACCCACCATCAGATTCAGCCCGCTACAGCATTATTTGATTGTTTTAGATGAAGCTATAAACCTTTGATAGACATTGCCGTGTTGACCTCGGCTCATCTGCTGCTTTAGGACATTGTCTCTAGGTTGTAATCACTATCTTTCAGAATGATGTCCACCATTAACGTTGGTTCACCAAACCTTTCTTATTATAAAGTATCTTAAAGTCTCCCTTTAACATATCATCAGTCTGTGAATAAGGTTACCCGGTACGTGCTGCCCACGTGTGCGATTGGTGCTATAACTGGCCAGGTGTTGGTCCATGGAGTATCACGCAGTGCATTGATCTGCCACTGATGAAAAGCACAAAACATTTTTAGAATATTTGTAACAAACATTGTTTACTTTAACAACACCAGATTACTAACATTAACACGTCGGTACATACTGTGAAGGAAACGTGGATATTTTTTCAGGGCTGGGTAGGGTTGGCTTCGTGCCAATCATCATCTTTCCATGGCAGTACAATCAAAAGTAATCGTGACTTTTACTACCGAGTATAAAATGTTATCACAGGTTTTACGATACAGTAACGATCAACAGTCCATAGGAACAGCGCACCCGGTATATGGGAGTAAGCCACAACGCGAGGGGGTAAACAAGCAAGTTCAGTAGCGAGTGTGTCCGCATTGCACGGAGGCAGGCCTGACACCTCTTCATTGAGGTCACTCTGGTTAAGATCAGTCCATGTCCGTGCTGCAGGCTTGTTGAAGAGTGAGTGAGTGAGTATGGTTTTATGCCGCTTTTAGTAATATGCCAGCAATAGCACGGCGGAAGACACCAAACTGGCTTCATACATTGTACCAATGTGAGGAATCGAACCCGGGTCTTCGACGTGACGAGTAGACGCTTTAACCACTAGGCTACCCCACCGTCCCGTTTGTTGAAGAGCTCATCTGATGTCGTAATCGTCCCAGTGTTCAGTGGGTCAAGAATCAGGGGGTCTTGTAACATCATAGTAACACATTAACACTATTCTGATTGTGATACTGCTGTACAGCTCGAGTAACGTTTTTTCTGCTACACTCGAGACGTTGACGTCGGTGGTGTGGCGTCAGAATTGGCCGTCTGGCTGAACGTCTTGCACAGATGCCATAGACATGTAGACTGTTCTCGCAAGCCCGCCTCTGTTGTCAGATATGTTCGGACTTTAGATGTTGCTGGCTGGGATCTGTGACGGTTCGCGGTTCAAATTCACCGTATTGAGGTTACTGGAGGGCAGCCACTACGAAATGATATTAAGCATCTGATGCTTTGACTTTTAAGTTGAACGGTACCGGCCATTTTTCTAGAATACGTCAGGCTTCTTGCAAAAATCGTGCAATTTGAACAGCAATTGTTTGGTTAAGCGTCGTCGACCATTTGTACACAATTCCTGGTTCAAATACAAATATTCGTTCACAAGATTACCATTTTATGCCACAAAAACTTTTGCCTCTGTTCGTGGGATATACTTTCGGTGTGGGACTGACTGTGACTATAAACAGTATGACCTGAGGGCGTTGGGTGTACATAGGTGTGGGGCTGGCTTTGACTATAAACAGGATGACCTGAGGGCGTTGGGTATACCTCAGTGTGGGGCCGGCTGTGACTATAAACAGTATGACCTGAGTACGTGGGGTATACCTAGGTGTGGGGCCGGCTGTGACTATAAACAGGATGACCTGAGTACGTGGGGTATACCTAGGTGTGGGGCCGGCTGTGACTATAAACAGTATGACCTGAGGGCGTTGGGTGTACCTAGGTGTGGGGCTGGCTGTGGCTATAAACAGGGTGACCTGAGGGCGTTGGGTGTACCTAGGTGTGGGGCTGGCTGTGACTATAAACAGGTGTGGGGCCGGCTTTGATGACCTGAGGGCGTTGGGTGTACCTAGGTGTGGGGCCGGCTGTGGCTATAAACAGGGTGACCTGAGGGCGTTGGGTATACCTAGGTGTGGGGCCGGCTGTGACTATAAACAGGATGACCTGAGGGCGTTGGGTGTACCTAGGTGTGTGGGGCCGGCTGTGACTATAAACACAGGATGAGCCTGAGTACGTGGGGTGGCTGTGACATCAGTGTGGGGCCGGCTGTGTGTGGGGCTATAAACAGGATGACCTGAGGGCGTGGGGTATACCTCAGTGTGGGGCCGGCTGTGACTATAAACAGGATGACCTCAGGAGAGTATACGTGGGGTATACCTCAGTGTGCCTGGGGCCGGCTGTGACTATAAACAGGATGACCTGAGGGGGTGGGTATACCTCAGTGTGGGGCCGGCTGTGACTATAAACAGGATGCCCTGAGGGCTTTGGGTATACCTCAGTGTGGGGCTGGCTGTGACTATAAACATGATGGCCTCAGGGAGTTGGGTATACCTCAGTGTGGGGCTGGCGGTGACTATAAACAGGATGACCTGAGGGCGTTGGGTGTACGTGGGTGTACCTAGGTGTGGGGCCGGCTGTGACTTAAAAAGGATGACCTGAGGGCGTTGGGTATACCTCCGTGTGGGGCCGGCGGTGACTATAAACAGGATGACCTGAGTACGTGGGCTGTGGCTATAAACAGGATACCTGAGGGCGTTGGGTGTACCAGTGTACCCTAGGGGCGTGGCTGTGACTTGTGGCTATAAACAGGATGACCTGAGGGCGTTGGGTATATATCTCCGTGTGGGGCCGGCTGTGACTATAAACAGGATGACCTGAGTACGTGGGGGTATACCTCAGTGTGGGGCCGGCTGTGACTATAAACAGGATGACCTGAGTACGTGGGTTTGGTATACCTCAGTGTGGGGCCGGCTGTGGCTATAAACAGGATGACCTGAGTACGTGGGGTATACCTAGGTGTGGGGCCGGCTGTGACTATAAACAGGATGACCTGAGTACGTGGGGTATACCTCAGTGTGGGGCCGGCTGTGACTATAAACAGCATGCCCTGAGGGCTTTGGGTATACCTGTGGGGCAGTGTGGGGCCGGCTGTGGCTATAAACAGGATGACCTGAGGGCGTTTGGTATACCTAGGTGTGGGGCCGGCTGTGACTTAAAAAAGGATGACCTGAGGGCGTTGGGTATACCTCAGTGTGGGGCCGGCTGTGACTATAAACAGGATGACCTGAGTACGTGGGTCATACCTCAGTGTGGGGCCGGCTGTGACTTAAAAAAGGATGACCTGAGGGCGTTGGGTATATCTCAGTGTGGGCCCGGCGGTGACTATAAACAGGATGACCTGAGTACGTGGGGTATACCTCTGTGTGGGGCTGGCTGTGACTATTGTCAGGTATTGATTACCAACTGGACGTTAACCGTGCATCATTTCGTAAAAATCTTGTGAAAGCAACCAACAACAAAGCAGTGTAATCATAGAGTATTGTATTAAATACAAAGGCAGTATACAAAACCCTCATTACAACAACAGAGGCAATAATAACATTCATCTCACAACGGTCAGTTTCCCATATTATGACCCATGATACTGAGACCAACCTGTAGGTCATGTACTCAGAGGTGACGTGGTTGATAATAACATCTTCGTTGGTTATTTAAAGATGGACCACAAGTACCTGAGCACTATCCCCAACAACAAGGTATAACGTGTGACCACTGGCTACATGAAAGCACTAGTCAAGATCAACAAGTGACCAAAACAATGGTGTATCTGTTGCAAAATGTGGTGAACAAATCGCAATATTTAATGATAATTTTCTTGGAACGTAGATTTCGTTAAGCCTTCAAGTATTGATGTCATTCATCTCGGCCTGAACGCTGACGGTCCTTTTACGTCATTAGTTTGCTGGTGTGTTCTGGCCAATCCGCTGATATCGATGGATGGCAACCAGTGTCTCTTGCAATAGCCGAATGGCAGAATCTGTGGCAGGATCGCCAGAAGCGTTCGAGTTGTGTTTACTGTGACTGATTAGGTACCAGATACCCACCATCAGATTCAGCCCGCTACAGCATTATTTGATTGTTTTAGATGAAGCTATAAACCTTTGATAGACATTGCCGTGTTGACCTCGGCTCATCTGCTGCTTTATGACATTGTCTCTAGGTTGTAATCACTATCTTTCAGAATGATGTCCACCATTAACGTTGGTTCACCAAACCTTTCTTATTATAAAGTTATCTTAAAGTCTCCCCTTTAACATATCATCAGTCTGTGAATAAGGTTACCCGGTACGTGCTGCCCACGTGCGATTGGATTGCTATAACTGGCCAGGTGTTGGTCCATGGAGTATCACGCAGTGCATTGATCTGCCACCTGATGAAAAGCACAAAACATTTTAGAATATTTGTAACAAACATTGTTTACTTTAACAACACCAGATTACTTCATTTAACACGTCGGCATTATATACTGTGAAGGAAACGTGGATATTTTTTCAGGGCTGGGTAGGCTTGGCTTCGTGCCAATCATCATCTTCCATGGCAGTACAATCAAAAGTAATCGCGACTTTTACTACCGAGTATAAAATGTTATCACAGGTTTTACGATACAGTAACGATCAACAGTCCATAGGAACAGCGCACCCGGTATATGGGAGGTAGCCACAACGCGAGGGGCAAACAAGCTTAAGTTCAGTAGCGAGTGTTAATCCGCATTGCACGGAGGCAGGCCTGACGCACCTCTTCATTGAGGTCACTCTGGTTAAGATCAGTCCATGTCCGTGCTGCAGGCTTGTTGAAGAGTGAGTGAGTGAGTATGGTTTTATGCCGCTTTTAGTAATATGCCAGCACAGCACGGCGGAAGACACCAAACTGGCCTCATACATTGTACCAATGTGAGGAATCGAACCCGGTCTTCGACGTGACGAGAGTAGACGCTTTAACCACTAGGGCTACCCCACCGTCCCGTTTGTTGAAGAGCTCATCTGATGTCAGAATCGTCCCAGTGTTCAGTGGGTCAAGAATCAGGGTCTTGTAACATCATAGTAACACATTAACACTATTCTGATTGTGATACTGCTGTACAGCGCTCGAGTAACGTTTTTTTCTGCTACACTCGAGACGTTGACGTCGGTGGTCTGGCGTCAGAATTGGCCGTCTGGCTGACAACTTGCACAGATGCCATAGACATGTAGATTGTTCTCGCAAGCCCGCCTCTGTTGTCAGATATGTACGGACTTTACTAGATGTTGCTGGCTGGGATCTGTGACGGTTCGCGGTTCAAATTCACCGTATTGAGGGTTACTGGAGGGCAGCCACTACGAAATGATATTAAGCATCTGATGCTTTGGACTTTTAAGTTGAACGGTACCGGCCATTTTTCTAGAATACGTCAGGCTTCTTGCAAAAATCGTGCAATTTGAACAGCAATTGTTTGGTTAAGCGTCGTCGACCATTTGTACACAATTCCTGGTTCAAATACAAATATTCGTTCACAAGATTACCATTTTATGCCACAAAAACTTTTGCCTCTGTTCGTGGGATATACTTTCGGTGTGGGACTGACTGTGACTATAAACAGGGTGACCTGAGGGCGTTGGGTGTTCCTAGGTGTGGGGCCGTCTTTGACTATAAACATGATGACCTGAGGGCGTTTGGTATACCTAGGTATGGGACTGGCTGTGACTATAAACAGGATGACCTGAGTACGTGGGTCATACCTCTGTGTGGGGCTGGCTGTGACTATAAACAGGATGACCTGAGTACGTGGGGTATACCTCAGTGTAGGGCCGGCTGTGACTATAAACAGGATGACCTGAGGGCGTTGGGTGTACCTAGGTGTGGGACTGGCTGTGGCTATAAACAAGGTAACCTGAGGGCATTGGGTGTACCTAGGTGTGGGGCCGGCTGTGACTATAAACATGATGACCTGAGGGCATTGGGTGTACCTAGGTGTGGGGCTGGCTGTGGCTATAAACAGGGTGACCTGAGGGCGTTGGGTATACCTAGGTGTGGGGCTGGCTGTGACTATAAACAGGATGACCTGAGGGCGTTGGGTGTACCTAGGTGTTCGGCCGGCTGTGACTATAAACAGGATGGCCTGAGTACGTGGGGTATACCTCAGTGTGGGGCCGGCTGTGACTATAAACAGGATGACCTGAGTACGTGGGGTATACCTCAGTGTGGGGCCGGCTGTGACTATAAACAGGATGACCTGAGTACGTGGGGTATACCTCAGTGTGGGGCCGGCTGTGACTATAAACAGGATGACCTGAGTACGTGGGGTATACCTCAGTGTGGGGCCGGCTGTGACTATAAACAGCATGCCCTGAGGGCTTTGGGTATACCTCAGTGTGGGGCCGGCTGTGACTATACACAGGATGACCTGAGGGCGTTGGGTATACCTCAGTGTGGGGCCGGCGGTGACTATAAACAGGATGACCTGAGTACGTGGGTCATACCTCAGTGTGGGGCCGGCTGTGACTTAAAAAAGGATGACCTGAGGGCGTTGGGTATATCTCCGTGTGGGGCCGGCGGTGACTATAAACAGGATGACCTGAGTACGTGGGTCATACCTCAGTGTGGGGCCGGCTGTGACTTAAAAAAGGATGACCTGAGGGCGTTGGGTATATCTCCGTGTGGGGCCGGCTGTGACTATAAACAGGATGACCTGAGTACGTGGGGTATACCTCAGTGTGGGGCCGGCTGTGACTATAAACAGGATGACCTGAGTACGTGGGGTATACCTCAGTGTGGGGCCGGCTGTGACTATAAACAGGATGACCTGAGTACGTGGGGTATACCTCAGTGTGGGGCCGGCTGTGACTATAAACAGGATGACCTGAGTACGTGGGGGTATAATTCCTCAGTGTGGGGCCGGCTGTGACTATAAACAGCATGCCCTGAGGGGCTTTGGGTATACCTCAGTGTGGGGCCGGCTGTGACTATACACAGGATGACCTGAGGGCGTTGGGTATACCTCAGTGTGGGGCCGGCTGTGACTATAAACAGGATGACCTGAGTACGTGGGTCATACCTCAGTGTGGGGCCGGCTGTGACTTAAAAAGGATGACCTGAGGGCGTTGGGTATATCTCCGTGTGGGGCCGGCGGTGACTATAAACAGGATGACCTGAGTACGTGGGGTATACCTCTGTGTGGGGCTGGCTGTGACTATTGTCAGGTATTGATTACCAACTGGACGTTAACCGTGCATCATTTCGTAAAAAATCTTGTGAAAGCAACCAACAACAAAGCAGTGTAATCATAGAGTATTGTATTAAATACAAAGTATATAAACTCTGTCAAAAAGAAACGCAACCCCTGTCCTCAGATATGAAAAAATTCGTTTGAATGAAGTTATTGCTTCCAAACTAAATGTTATTCGAATGTATTGAAATTATACACGTAATTAATGAAGATTACCATCCAAACAACTGCATTTGTACGCATAAGTGTATTTTATTGCTTATTCCGTCACAACGCATGAAATGACCTCATGGTGACTTCGCACAAAAAACACATGCAAATCATGAAAATGGCAGTTAATGTAGGGGTGTATAAAAGCCCATGTGCTTTCGTATTATATTCATTCATTTGTCGCATGAAAAGCTGTGTGAAAAATGCCACGATTGAGTGCTGCTGACCGAAATATCGCCATTGGTCGTGTTCAAGCCGGAGAAAGTTTTGGAACTGTTGCACGGCACCTAAATGTTCACAAAACAACGATATCCCGACTTTGGAGCCGCTACAACAACTTCAATTTGACCAACGATCGCCCGAGAAGTGGAAGGCCAAGAATCACGACCCCCTTCAAGATCGGTACATCCGGGTCCATCACCTGCGTAATCGGCATGCTCTACCAACCGTGACTGCCACACAAATACCAGGTTTGAGGAGAGTGTCAGCTCAAACGATTAGGAACCGTCTGAAAGAAGCGGGTTTACGTGCCTGTAGACCAGTTGTTGACCTGTACTACGCCCCCTACATCTCCGCCGACGACTCAGGTGGTGCAACAACGTAAGGATATGGACTTTACAAAACTGGAGGCGCATCTGGTTTTCTGATGAATCCTGTTTTCTTTGCAACATCACGACGGAAGAAAACGTGTGTATAGGAGACGTCATGAACGTTTTGCGCCCATCTGCGTCCGACAGGGGACAGATTTGGCGGAGAAAGCGTTATGGTTTGGGGATCCATCTCATACAACCAGAAATCAGACTTGGTGATCGTTGAAGGGAACCTGACAGCCCAACGTTACATCAACCACGTATTACAGCCTCACCTTCTCCCGATTATTGACCAACAGACACAGATTTTTCAACCAGACAACGCCCGGCCTCATACTGCACGTGCAACAATGAACTTTCTGCAGAATTCCAACGTCAATGTCTTGCCATAGCCCTCTAAATCACCAGACCTCAACCCTATTGAACACCTGTGGGATACTCTGGGTCGACGCGTACGTCAACGTCAGCCGCCGCCACAGACGCTGCAACAGCTCGGCGTTGCACTGCAGGAGGAGTGGAGAGCCATTCCCCAGGAAAGAATCCGGCGTCTTATCCGTTCTTGTCCAAGGAGATGCCGTGCAGTGATTGCAGCTCGTGGTGCTCATACGAGATACTGAGAAAGACGCCCCCTGGTGACAAACTGGTGTCTGTGAGATGACTTTTGAAATGACAATTTTAAACATGCCCATCTTGGTTATTATTCTGCCAAATTTCAGACTTCTGTCTTAAATAATAAAATGCTGTGTCGTCTTAAAACTTCAGATCAAAATCTCTAAAATACAGGGGTTGCGTTTCTTTTTGACAGAGTTTATATATGATAAAGGTTACTAACAAATGGCTTAAACGTACTTTTTTAACTACCAGGAACTCAGATTGTCTCTTCAATCTGGAGTTCTCCTACCATAAAAAAAACCCTTTGCAAATCAAAAGTGCTATATGTACCATTACATCAATATCACCAGAATTTGATAATCGGTGGACAGCTATCCTGTTTGTTGCACAGCCTTGTCAAAGTCCTTACGAAGGTGAAAGGTCACAGGGAGATTATCTGTAGGCTTTGTAGCTGGGAAGTAGGTAATCTTAGGGTTTTTGTTCTTCAGTTCCCAAGTACACATCTTTATTATTTCCACAATAAAGATTTTCAGAAACATCCTTGCAAACTTTTCGCCCGGACATGCACGAGCACCTGCCCCAAAAGGAATGTAGTGGAACCGTTCGTCACTCAGACGTGTCTTCTCGTCCATGCCATTCCAGCGTTCGGGTTTGAATTCCTCCTTGTCTTCAAAGAGGTTGGTTGTTTGATGCGTGTCTCGGATGCTGTAGATCGCAGTCCAGCCCTCTGGAATCTGGTAGCCCTGTGGGTGGAAAACACAATGAGCATAAGAGTGAAACTGAACGGTATCTATGTTACATCCCCTTCATGATGTAAGTGGCAATAATTGTGACCCCCCACCTGCAGAGGTATGGCCATAATCATGGCAAACCGGGATTCGAACCAACAGTGACACGGATCACCCTTCATTTCGGATCACAAATATTAAACCAGGGATTTGTCTCTGGTCAGTTGGGAGTGCAATCAAAGCTTCCTGCACACGATAGTAATTTCATAGTCTGTTTTAATGATGTTGTTTAATGTTGGCATCAACTGTGCGTTGTGACGTACATCTGCTGAACACATTGCCAATCAGTCGCCCTGTTCCAATACGATTGTGGTCTCAAATCTTAGCTTAGAATCATATCTACATGGCCGTTGATATTATTATGATGATTTATGCTTTTTTCAATAAATGGCTCGTGTAGCTGTTAAAAAAGGTAAATCAGCATCTCAGAACAAACTGAGAAGGTCCTTTGGCATTTTTCTAATGTCATTTTACGGCTAGGTGTTCTACTATGTGTAATTATTATAAATGGCTCTTAATAACTCGATATAGCTAAGCACATTCAGAATTTGTCTCGTCACGATATGGCTGTGTTACCGATATAACGTTAAATTTTACCTCAGCAGAATTTGTCAGCAAATTCCGTAGTAACAGAAGCGAATATAGACACCAGCTCCTTTCGGCATTTTTCTAATGGCAGAAATCATCATAATTGTTGATGCCTGGCAGGTCAGGGTATGGAAATACGTGGGATGCTGTTACGTCTAAAAGACAAAACATAAACTCTAAAATATGCAATACCCTCTTAGGTATAGTGGTAACACTACTATCTACACTCGCCTTTCGATCGACCACATCTAGATTTTAAATTGATGAATAAAACAGCCAAGCCCTATATATGGTTGTGAAACTCAAGCACAGTGAGGTTAACAAGTTCCAGCCAGGGTGAAGCAGGAATCTCCGGCTCATAATCAGTCATGGACTCAAACAAAGGCTGAAACACAAATGAAAATGTCATATGTGTGGAGATGTCCACTCTATGCAAACAAGACTGTTGATGAACGTCGACAAAAGCTAGTAAAGAATAAGAAATTGTGTTTCAGTTGCCTCAAATCCAAACATGACTCCCTCACTTGACGTTTTTAAAACTCATCCTAAGACCTATCTCTTTGGGAGATATTAAAACTGACTGTTGTGTGCGCTTAGAACATTCCCATGAGCTCGTGGTGTGGAGATCAGCGCTATACAAACGTCCTGATTATTAAATTATTATATATGTTGCTTCAAAATATTTTACATCAAATCAAAACATACAGTCACAAGATGTGTACTTCCAATTGGTTCCAGTCTTTGCCTTTGGTTCGAATGGAAGAAGTTTTCGGACAGCTGCGCCACTTGACTGCAAGTGACATTGCACTAGCACTTTTGCCAAGGATCTTGGTCGCGAAGGAAGTAAACATCCAGTGACTGAAAACTCTCAGTTCCTTGGAGGAATCAACTGTGCGCAAAGTCTCTCCCAAAGACAACGCTGTTCATGATTATGACGCAACATGCCTTCATGTCAAAGAAGCATGGACAGTTACTTATGATGCATTACGCTGCAGACCACATACCGTGCAATCTGAATGGTAACTTATCAGAGATTTTAATATTCAAATATCGAGTCAACTGAAATACAGTTGTTGATAGGTAGAATGTTCGAGAAGGGCATTTACAAACTGATGTTGTTTCAGACCCAGATAAGCAACCGTGTGTGGTGTTGACATCACTAGGCTGGCCGCTCATGAGGCTTGCTGAAGGTGAAGTCACAACAAAATATTCAACCTCAGGTCTATTTCACTATTACTCTTGGCAAGTGTTTACATGATCAGGTTGTAGAAGTCCAGCGGTGTCCTATTGAATAAGCTTCAAGACAAATGCAGTCTGTTCTTAATTAAAGTCTGATTGATGGAGACTACGAAGTTGTGGAGGCGCGGGAACGTAATTTTGCTAAATAACTGCATCATTGTGGAGAGAAGATTTAAGTCATTAGCTAAGCGCCTTGTACGTAACAGTTACTTTGCTCTTCCTTGTAATACTTTGAATGGTTGCATTGCTAAAGGAGATTCACACAAGTTAACTGGAGAGGAATCTACAGTAGTCTCGGTATTAACCGCAATGCTGTATGTAGCGCTGAGAGATGACTGACAAGAGTGCATTTTTGGACTGACTGGAACAATGTCACACAAAATATCAGCAATGAAGCAAGGAGATTCAAACCTATTGTTCTGGATCACTAAAATTGAGACGGCGACATGAGCCATCACTGTCAACGTGGACTGTCGGGAAACACATAAACCTTTCTTTTTCTTGATTTCAAGGCTCTTAATTCTTGAAACAGGAAGAAAGCACATGGGTGACAGAAATACTGATTTATACTGGTGCTGAGATGAAACATGTGCTAAACGCTGTGACAGGCTGCAAAAAATATTTTCAAGGAGTTTGAAGTATCAAGCCTGCT